GTGTCCCTGGGCTGTGTTAGCTGTGTGCCCATGGAGTGGTTTCCCATGTCCATGGTCCCTGGCAAAGCCCTGTAGCACCTCAGAGCAGCTGTGTGACACAGCAAGGTGTTTCCTGGATGGATCCTGTGGGTGGCAGTGGCTTGTGCAGCTGAAGAAATACTTGAATTCCCCTGGGGAATGTCATTGCTTTAAGAAACCTGAGCCTTCAAACTTAAGGCTTGTTTTGTTGTTTTCCCAGAAATTTGTGCTTCCTGTTTTCCAGCTGTGGCACTGCTACGGACAACAGAGTCAGTCCAGTGCCTGAGGCACTCACAAATCTACTATAAAGCTACCAGAAAAGAGAGTTGTGTAATTACTGCTTGTGCAGTTTGCTGAGCCAAGAGATCAGTGTTTGTCAAGTGATTGAATCTCCAGTTCATGAATCTGCAACCATCAGTCAGTCTCCCTTTGGAGCTGCAGGAACTGAGAGGGAGCTCGAGCTGTCTCAGGTTCTTCAGGGAGCTAACTAGAGTAGGAGTAAAATAGAATTCCATAGAATTCCATAGAATCAATCTGGTTGGAAGAGACCTCCAAGATCATCGAGTCCAACCCTCCCGTGGTCACTAGCCCATGGCACTAAGTGCCACATCCAGTCTCAGCTTGAAAACCTCCAGGGATGGGGAATAGAGTAATGATGAGTTATAAGTAAAATAAATTTGTGCTTTAGATGTAAAGCAGCAATCTCAGGACACTTGGCAAGTGTCACTCAATGAGCTCTTCTAAGATTTTGAACAGCTGGTTGTTGGTTATGTGGAGAAGCTGTGTGACCATCTAAAAGTGGTTAGTGCATTTCTCACACTGCAGATGAAAAGGTAAATGTTTTCAGCCCTAACTCCAGGTAGCTGTTTCTGCAGGTCCTTTCCTGTTCTGGGTGACCTTTCAGTGCAGGCACTGCTGGTGTGTGTTCAGGGAGGTGAGACATGCTGTTCCTCAGAGTATCCTTTAGGCTTTGGGGTTTAATGGACATCAAGGAGAACAGATTTGATGGTGGCTAAGGAGTCCTATTTGTGTTTCCTTTGCCATTTAATTGCTGAGGCTGCAAAGCTTTTTATTAATGTAAAAAGCTTTGGATAGTTGAGGGTGATTACAGGTGATAAATTTTAGGGACTGGAAGGAGGGAAAGGCAGGCAGAGCCTCATGGAAGAGAGTTTGTGGTGTTCCTGGTGGACAGAGGGTTCTGTGAATCAGCACTGGCAGTGAAGACTCCACAGCTGCTTTGATTTTCCTGAGGCACAGATTGGGTTAGATCCATTAGCTCAAAGTGAGTCTAATGGTGCAGTAGTGGTTTGTACAGAAGCAAACTCAAAAGGGAAAAATGTGTGTGTAAATTAAACAGGGATGATTTTAATTGCAGAGGAGGTGGCAAAACATCTGTAAAGCTAAAGCAGAATTTATGTGACCTCAGACCAGTTTGGAAAGTCAGGTTGGCAACACTAACCAACTTTGAACTCAAATATAAGTGAGGTTCTGTTTAAACACACTTAATGGCAACACTGAATTTCTGATCTCTGAGTTTCTGGGGTTTGCTGTCTTTGCTAACAAGGGATCTTGTTTCAGAGCTTGATGCCCTGGATTCCAACGATGAGTTGACACCTCTTGGAAGAATCCTGGCCAAGCTTCCCATTGAACCTCGTCTGGGCAAGATGATGATCATGGGCTGCATCTTTTAGTAAGCTGAGTAGTCTCAGTACCTTCTTCTTATTTCTCTGAGTTCCTGAGCCTCTTGACATGCTTATCTAGATAAGCAATAAATGGTGCAGTTGGGGAAGGGAGACTTGAATCTTCATGGGAACAGAGGAGAAATAACTCCAGTGTAGATAGGGAATAGTCATGAAATTCAGAGTTAGCTGCAAGAGACCAGTGGAGGCTGAAGAGTTATGAAGAGTGGGACTGTATAACAGTGGGGAGAGAAGGAATTTGACACTTTGGCTTTAGCAGAAGGTCTATTCTTTGTTGTTGTGGTGGCTCTAGAGTCCTCACAGCAGGAGGTGGTGCATGGGTGAGGAGAAGGGCAAAGAAGATAGGCAAAGGGCTTGTGAGCAGTTAGCTGCAAGAGACCAGTGGAGGCTGAAGAGTTATGAAGAGTGGGACTGTATAACAGTGGGGAGAGAAGGAATTTGACACTTTGGCTTTAGCAGAAGGTCTATTCTTTGTTGTTGTGGTGGCTCTAGAGTCCTCACAGCAGGAGGTGGTGCATGGGTGAGGAGAAGGGCAAAGAAGATAGGCAAAGGGCTTGTGAGCACTTGCTGTTGTGAAAGTCCTGGAAATGGAGCTTATTTGACATCCACTTGCAGGGAAGCTTTTCAGTGAAGAACTCTGGTAGATAAGCTCCAAATTACTAAGGTTTCTAGCAGAGGATTTTTCCCTAGTAGCAGCAGCAGCAGCAGCAATGACTCTGAATTATAACCCATCCTGATCCTTTTTGTGCTTCCTTTCAGTGTGGGAGATGCTGTTTGCACCATCTCTGCAGCCACTTGTTTCCCTGAGCCTTTCATCAACGAAGGCAAACGCCTGGGATATGTCCACAGGAACTTTGCTGGGACCAGGTACTCCGATCATGTGGCCTTGCTCTCTGTCTTCCAGGCCTGGGATGATGCAAGGTATGTTATCTGGCACAGCACTGGATGGAAGTTATGGGTGAGCTTTTCTTTTCCTTGACCAGACCTCTAATCCCCTCTGTTTGTTTTGCAGGATGGGTGGGGAAGAAGCAGAGAAAAGGTTTTGTGAACACAAAAGGCTCAGCATGGCCACTCTTAGAATGACTTGGGAAGCAAAAGTCCAGCTGAAAGACATACTTACTAGTTCTGGCTTCCCTGAAGGTGATTCTGCTTGGACATAATACTTTAATCATAGAATCGATGGGGTTGGAAGAGACCTCCAAGATCACCAAGTCCAACCCTCCCGTGGTCACTAGCCCATGGCACTAAGTGCCACATCCAGTCTCAGCTTGAAAACCTCCAGGGATGGGGAATCCACCACCTCCCTGGGCAGCACATTCCAATGCCTGAGCACTCTCTCCAGAAAAAATCTCTTCCTGATATCCAACCTAACCCTCCCCTGGCAGAGCTTGAGCCTGTGCCCTCTTGTCCTGCTGCTGTTGCCTGGGAGCAGAGACCAACATTCTGAGGTGATAAATAAGTGACCAGGACACTCTGTGCTGAGCACACAGAGGCCTGGAGTGGATTTGCTCCCTGCTGCAGTGCTCTGGTGCAGATGGAATTCTAGTGTTCTCCTCTAAACCAGAGCAGCTGTGATGGCTGTGCTGCAGCACAGGGAGATTTTGGAGGCTGAGCTTAGGGCTGCAGGGTGAAAAATCCATTGAGCAATTGTCCTTAGTGTGTTACCCCCCTGATTTTCCTCCTTCTTCACTTGTTGCATCTCCCAAACGTGCTGTGCTGTGCTTCCTCCCTCCTACCATGACCCTTAGCAGGGAGTCTGTGTGAGCTGAAGTGTTCTGTTCCCTGGGACTTCCTGGGTTTGTGCCACAATATCCCATTTTCTAGGGAAAACCATATTATTCCATTTTCTAGGGAAAAGTAAACCAAAATTCTTAAACCTGCCCAGGTTCTGAGTTTGCCTGACACTGCTGAGGGGCTCAGGGCAGTGGTGTGGCTGCTGCAGATGTTTTTCTCCCTCTCCTTTGCATTTTCACTTTTTTTTCTTGAAATTCCTTTAATTTTTGTTCTCCTCATGCTGCTGGGATCATTGCTGCTTTTATCCTTAGCTTGCTTTCTGGGCAAGATGACCTGAAACCAAGCCACCAGAGGCTCTGGGGAGGTTTGTAACAAATAAACTAATAAAAACATCCATTCTGGCCTCCCCCTAAAAGTTCTGTCTCCAAAACAAATGACAGTAAACACGCTGTGGTACAGCACATTCTGGGCAAAGCCTTCTCTCCTTGTTTGTGGAGAGTTTGGGAGAGAAAAATACCTCTTTGTCGTATTATTTTTCATCTCTTTGCTCTCCATGAATGCATTAAAAACTGAACGTGGAGCTGAAATGCTCTGAGAGCAGAGGCCATTGGAGAGCAAATGGAACTGGGTTGGTTGAGTCAGAAAATACAGACCCAGGATCCTGAGCAGCTCTGCTGTGCTCTCCTCCATGACCTGTGGATTTGAGCCACTCTTCTGTTCTCTGCCAACAGAGTGTTTGATGATTCAGCCGTTCAACAACACTGGCCCAGACAATAACCTGGATGTTGTCATCTCCCTGCTTGCCTTTGGGGTCTACCCCAACGTCTGCTACCACAAGGAGAAGAGAAAAATTCTTACCACTGAGGGGCACAGTGCTCTCATCCACAAATCCTCTGTCAACTGCCCTTTCAGCAGCCAAGACATCAAGTATCCGTCACCCTTCTTCGTGTTTGGAGAGAAGGTAGAGACTTTGTTCTTGATCTTTGGGAAAGAAGCCATAAGGGAAAAAACCTGACTGTGCAATATTTAGCTTGGGTTTTTTTGGAGGAGTTGATTGTTGGTTTCTTTTCCTAAAGTGACCTTTGTGGTCCTGGTGTCACTCAGCCTCCCAGGAACTTCCAGTCAGCCACATTCAGTAGAAGCAGAGCTGCACAGAAAGTTCCTGTGAGTTTTCTGACAACAACCAAGGCATAAAGGAAAGGCTAAATCATTATCTGCCTCAGGAGATTGTTTTAGGAGCTCTTCCATACTAATTAGACACCAGAGAATTCTTACCCTTATCACTTCTCCTACTTAGGAATCCAGAGAGAATACAGGAACATGGAATATGGCAGTGAGCTGTTCCTCTTCTGCCGTGCATGTAGTTTGTCATCTCCTGAGGACAATTCCTGACTGCCAAGCTTCTAAAAACCCTGAGCTGCTTTCCCCAGGGTCCCCATGACCTTTTGCTCATCCCATGGCTCTGGTGTCCTCAACATGCACTGAAGCTCCTGTGAGCTCTGCTGTGCTGCCTGGTGGGTGTCATGGACTGCTCCTGCTCCTTCAGGGAGCAAACAAAGGCAATGCCTTTATGTTTGGAATAAATGGAATGTAAAACCCTTTGGACACTGGCTGGGATGTGATTCCCACACCCATAGAGCTGTGGTGAAGCTTTGCCTCTTCTTCACCCTTTATGTTAGGATCCCAAGAGGGTCAGAGCTTTGATCTGCCTCGAGCATTTTTTTGAGTGAGCTCCCCTAAACCCCCCAGAAGACTTCTGAGCTCAAAGCTTTGCTTTATTAAAGCAAAATGCAGATGGCAAACAAGGACTGGCTAAGATGTGGGCTGAAAAGTGACTGAGACAGCACCAGGGTGAGGCTGGGGTGCACAGCTCTCTCCCTGCCCACTATGGACCTGAGGTCTGGCTGTCAACAAACAGGTCCAGCAGATTCTGCTGTGTGGAAGGAAGAGGGAGAGAGGAGCTGTCAGGGTGAGAGGCTGAAGTCCCAAGTGCTGCTCTTCTGTTCCTCTTCCAGATGAGGGGCAGGAGCTGAGTGCTCAGGGCTGTCATCTCTGGCTCAGGACAGACAGTCCAAGTGCTCGCTCCAAGTTCAAGCTCAAGGTCTTGTTTCTATAAAAAGGAAGAGAGTTTTGGTGGCTGTTTTTGACACCAGCCAGTGCTGAATCCCTGTAAACACCTGCCTGGCATTCAGTTTAGTGTGTGCTCTTGTAATTTCTTAACATGACACCTGCATTTTTTTGGTGTCGTTTAGGTTTTTATTTTTAAACAACCTTCAGTGTCCAGAGGAAGTTGTAGGGATCTGTTTTCCATTTCAAGAGTTGTTTTGCCTTTCAGATTCGGACACGAGCCATCTCTGCCAAAACCATGACCTTGGTGAGCCCACTGCAGCTGCTGCTCTTTGCCTCCAAGAAAGTCCTGTCAGATGGGGAGCTCATCCTGGTGGATGACTGGTAGGGACCTGCTTGGTGCTCACAGTCATGGGATGGGATGGGATGGGATGGGTTGGGAGGGACCTTGAAGATTATCCAGTCCCAATCCCTTTGCCTGAGGGGCAGTGTCAGCCAGCACAGACAACTGTCTGTGGCACAGGGACCCCAGAGCCAGCTGTGCTGGGAAGGCACCACCTCTGTTTCCTGGGAGGTGATCTGCTTAAACTGAGAACATGACACCAGGCATGGTGTCTCCTTAAAAGCTGCTGGATTTCCCCTGTAACTGGAAGGTTAGTAAGAGGGGTCAGATTGGAAGGCACCACAGTGGGTCATCTGGTCCTAAGCAGGGTCATCCTAGTACTATGTGTTTGGGACCTTCTCTTCAGACAGAGGCTGAGCAAACCTTGTTTTCAAGCTTGGAAACAGCTTGAGGAGAGAAGTGTTTGCCTCTGGCCGTGTACATTTTCTGATCATGACCAAATACCATCTGGATGTCTTTTTAGTCTTTTAGTTTTCCCGCTGGTCAGGAGAACGGAGGCAAAGAAATGCTTAAGCTTAATAGACTAACATTTTTGAGGGTGGCCTGGAGCTTTCAAAATCTTGGACCCTCATGTTTTTGGTTAACTTTATGTTTTTGAATCTTTCTGTTTTAGGATGAGGACTTAGGTATTGATGTTATCCATGTATAGAATCATAGAGTCCCAGAATGGTTTGGGTTGGAAGGACCTTAAAGAGCATCCTGTTCCAACCTCCTGCCCTGGGCAGGGAAATGTTCCTCTAGCCCAGGTTGCTCCAAGCCCCATCCAACCTGGCCTTGGACACTTGTAAGGATGGAGCAGCCACAGCTGCTCTGGGCAAACTCACCTCACAGGGAGCAATTCCTTCCCAGTATCCCATCTATCCGTGCCCTCTGGCAGTGGGAAACCATTCCCTGTGTCCTGTCCCTCCAGGCCCTTGTCCAAAGTCCCTCTCCAGTTCTCTTGGAGCCCCTTTAGGCACTGGAAGGGGCTGAGCCTTCACTTCCTCAGGCTGAGCAGCTCTCCCAGACTGTCTCCACAACAGAGATGCTCCAGCCCTTGGAGCATCTCCATGGCCCTTTGTTAAATCTCCAGAGCAGATTCCAACAAAAGGATTGTTAAAACATAACTATGTCAAATTTTAAGGATCCTTCAAATTCACCTCCTGATTTTGTGCCACTTCACTGACAAACTAGAACGTCAAAGGTGAGAATGTAGGTTTCTTGCTCCAGGACAGGAATATCCTCATGGGTTGTCCCCTGGAGGTCATGGTAGGTGTGAGAGGTTTAAGGAGGGGCTGGAGGTGGAGTTAGGGCAGAGGTTTCGCAGCTGACTGAGCCTGTGCCTAGGATCAAGCTGAAGATGTCACACACGGCGGCTGCCTGCATCACGGCTCTGCGTGCTGCCGTGGAGGCTCTGGTGGTGGAGGTGTCCAAGGACCCTGGGATCATCCAGCAGCTGGAGCCAGTGCACGAGCGGATGCTGAACGTGATCCGACAGCTGTCCCGGCCCGGCGCCGCAGGCATGGCATTGCTGCCAGCCAGCCCCAGGTGAGGGGGACAGCCCTCTGCTCGAGTGGGGCTGAAACACTCAGATCAGAGCCTGGTGTGGGTAGAGCACTCCCTGAGTCCACAGGAAGGACAAGCAGCTTTGGGAATAGAGGCTGTTGTCATTCCCCTGTCAAACCATAGTGGTTTTATAGGAAAGATAATCCAGGTTTATTTGGGGCAAACCTGGAAATAAAATTGCCCCTCTCCATTGCCCTTGTTTCACGCTTTGCTTCTGAAGCAAAGCAAAGTTTTCTGAGTGGAAAATCCTAGAATCATCAGGGTTGGAGGAGACCTCTAAGGCCATCAGGTCCAAGCATTAACCTGTCACTGCTGGAACCCCCAAACCCTAACCCAGATCCTCCAGTGCCACATCAGACACCCCTGAAACACCTCCAGGGATGGTGACTGCACCACCTCCCTGGGCAATATCCCAGTGTGAAACTTCATTCCATATGAGAAACTTTCAATTAATAGAGAGAAATTAATAGAGAGAAAAGAGTGTCTAGAAAAGGTGCAGAAGCACAACAGTAGTTCAAACATCACATCCTGTCAGAGGAAACAGCGATGTCCTTGCTGGGGATCTTGGTCACTGGTTATCCCAGTGCTCCTGCAGAGGTGGAACCCGTAGGGTTGCATCAAGCAGGGGATGTTTCTCTCTGGCAGGTTCGGGGACGGCCCTCGCCCCCCCAAAATGGCTCGGTACGACAACGGGGGCAGCCCCAGGGGCTGGGGAGGAGGAAACCCACGCGGCTCCACGCACAGGGGCAGAG